GTTTAATGAGACTGAAGTGTTTTGCTAAGGAAGATGAGTTATGAGGAAGACCAAGCTCCTCCCTCTAAGCAATTGTAAATCCGAAATTAAGAGGCTCCAATTGAGGAAGTATGGAGAAAGAAAAGATAACAGCCCTTTATTAAAGGATATATGTGTATTGACAGGACAACAAAAGAACAAAAACAACTAAACACTAATCCTGTACCCAAAGTTCCCTCCAGAAAACCATTTAAATACTTTCCGCCTTTTGGCGCAATTCTAACCAGGGCCAGCAGGGGGCGCTGTTGGATCACTGGAGGAGCAGAGCTGCAGTTGCTCCCTGGTGGCCGGCAGGGGGCGCTGTTGGGCTCTGGCGGTCGCCGCGTGAGGGCCCCGGAGCGCGGGAGGAGCCGAAATGGAGATTCCCCCACACCGAGAAGGGGAAGAGGGGTTCTTCCCATGAACGCAGGCTGTCGGCGGCTGGCTCTAGCCGGGATTCCCCCCCCTTCGTCGATGGCGCAAGCTGCTGCCAAAAATGGGAACGGAGGAGGGAAGGGGCAACCTTCTCCCCGAAAGGTTCCTCCGCAGAAGGGCCAAACCTCTCCGATGAAATCCCCGCAGGTCCGGGCTGGGGGCAGAACAGGGCGCGGGAGAACGAAGCTGAACTGGGGCCAGAAGCAGCCAGATGACCTGGCCGAAAACAAAATGAATCTCGGAACCTCTCCACACACACGTTCCCTGAGTCAGGGCAAAAGTGGAGTGCCTGCTGTTTCCCAAGAGGAGGAAAAAAACCTCATCACCTCCCCCCCACAGTCTTCTGAGGGCCATCAGCCTGGAATGTGGCCTGTCGGCCAGTTCTTTTGTGTGTGAATCACCCCAGACAAAAACCACCCTCCCCTTCCCTCGTTCAAACATCCCTCTTTTACAATGATGCAGGGGAAAGAAGAAAAAAAAATTTCCCCACCTGGTTTTTTAGAACAAGTAAACCTATGACACAAGAGTTTCCCTTCCATTTAGTAACAGGCTTACATTAGGCTTTGTTTTCCTTTTGTTACTGATGTATTTGAAGAAGCCCTTCTTGTTGTTCTTGACATCCTTGGCCAGATTTAATTCCGGTTGGGCATTGGTCTTCCTGGTCTCATTTCTACATGCCCTGACAACATCCCTATATTTATTTTAAGTGGCCTGTCCCTGCTTCCAGGTCCTCTATATCTCCTGCTTGTATTTGAGTATTCACAGGAGTTCCTTGGTTGTCTATGCATGTCTCTTGCCCCTTTTGTCCAATTTCTTCCTCATTGGGATGACCCATTCTTGAGACTTGGAGGAAATGGTGCTTGAATATTGATCAGCTCTCTTGGACCCCTGTACTGGTTTTAAAATGCCAGGGAGGAAAAGTTAAGACTGCTCGAGCCACCCCTGTATGATAGTGGAAGGGGAAAACAAAGAAAACAAGACTGCAACCAGTTAAAAATGTTAGTCATAATTTTACTGAGGTAAAATTACCAATAACAACAGTACAGAGAAAAATGGCCAACCCACAAAACCAATAAAGGCAAAATGTTGTCTGGCCCCTCATCCCTAGGGCAAAACCAAAAATGGCACCCATTCCCTTTGCTGTGCACCATGTGGCCTGGGAAAAAACTGAAAGTAATGCGGTAAACAAGTTTCTCCAGTTTAACGCCTTCCCTGGGCAGACAAAAACAATGGGGAACAGGGGCAAAACAAAACCTGGAAGCCTATTTTGTCCAAAAGTATTTATTCTGCCAAGATGCTGGTGTGGGTTCTGGCGTAGTGGCAGCTGGTGAAAGCAGCAGCCATGGTCCCAGGCAGCTCCGGTGGTGGTGGTGCCGATGTGGCGGCTCTGGCGGTGGTGGTGCAGCTGTGGTGGCTCTCTTGCAGTGCTGAGAGGACACACAGTCCTGATTCCCAAACACCCTCTCCTGCCTGTGCAGCAGCAAAAATAGCAAACCTTCCTATGAGAAATAAAAATACGGGTTTTTTTATAAATAGGCTTATTGTGAAGTTGTAAGATATCCAAGTTCCAAGAGCTGAACTTGGGTATCAGGGTCTCTTTCGGCGGAATAAGGGAAATGAGAAAATTCTTAAAAATTAAATCTTTTATGGCCATTTTGTACATGAGATTCCTTTTCTTCTTGGGCTAAGAACAAAGAAAGATCCATCGCCTTTGACAGGGAATGGCTTGCAGCCAATTGGGATAAAGGGAAAGCCCCTTTTCAGAGAAAAGAAACCTTTTTAGGTAAAAAGGAATACATTAAAACTTATCTGAGAAGGCTGGTGTCCTAGTTAGAACAGCTAGGACCAGTTCAACACTGAATGGGTGTAACCCAAAACTGTGTATTCTATAGCCTTCCATGCCATGTCCCATTATGCAGTAAGAGCAAAGCTCTGAGACTGCACAGGGAGCTCTAGTTCCTCCTGCTCGTTCCCCATACTGCAGGCATTGGTATATACAGGCACCTTACAGAGGGATTGGAGTGTAGAGGTGCAAGAGGATGCCCTATAGTCACATCTTTGGCTTTCTGGAGGTATCCCTTCTTAAGCCTTATTTTTCTGGATGGGTGGTCACTATAACTTCCCCCTTCCCCCCACCTTTCCCAGCTTAAAGCTCACCCTACCAGGATGGCCATTCCTTTGGCAAAGACTTAATGCATGTCTAATGGACCTGAATGGCCCCTAATTCTGCCTCCCGCTACTGTGGGTACTGTTACACTCCTACAGACTCTGCAAGGAGGCTTGGGACCTGGGAGACCTAAGTGAGGGGAAGAAGGAGGGGAGAATGAAGCAGGGAGGAAGAAAAAAAGGGAGGCAAGGGAAAATTGGGAAATAACAGGGAAGAAAAAAATGAGGGTGGGAGAGAGGGAGGGGGAAAGGCCGGGGGAAGATGATGGAATGAAAGAAGAAAGAAAGGTAAAAGAAAGGCAGGTAAAAAGGAATGAAGGCAGGCAGGGAGGCAGGCAAGAAGGAAAGAAGGAGGTATTGAGGAAAGTAGCAAAAGAAGAAGGAAGATAGGAATTAAGAAGTCAAGAAGGTGGAGAAGTGGGCAAGGAGGAATAGAGGAAAGCAGAAAGTCAAAAAGGCAGGAAAAAGGGGGAATTTAAGTGTGTAAGTATATAAAGTAAGGACAGAGGTCAATAGTGAAAGGAGGAGGTAGGAAGTAGAGAGTAATAAAGGACGGACATGAAAGGATAGACAGAAGGATGGATGAAAGGAAGAACAGAGGGGAGGAAGGACAGATGTACAGTGAGGATAGAGGGAAGTAAGGGGGGAGGGAAAGGAAAGGAGGAATGTAAAAGAAGAAAGGAATGTGAAAGAAGAAAGTAGGGATGTAGCATGTCTGTAGATATTGTACCTACCTTTGCATTTTATATGCAAAGTCATTTGATTGTAAATAAATTTTGTTTACAGGTTGTCATGATCTGGGGAAATGGATGTTCATCAGAAGTAATGGAGGTAGAAGGGATAGCAGGCAGGAAATAAAAGAGAACTTGGCAATCATGCCGCATAATGTTATCTGTCAACAAAATCAACCAACCTTACCTGGATGGACAGGCTCCCTTACTTAGCCTGCATGAGAAATATGCCATTTTTGTGATTAATAAACAGGCAAATGCTTCATCATTCAATTAGTGATGTTCATGGATGAATGAGACTCTCACTGTCCCTACTTACTATGCTGAGAAAGAAACATAGGGAACAGGCTTGTCAAAAATCAGCAGGGAAATAAGCCCCTGTTGATCACAACTCTAGTCTGACACTGTGAAGAAACTTCAGAGGTGGGAGGCCCCCACAGTTGTGCAACTCAGACCAGTTGCCAGTGAAATACTACTCCTAATTTTTACCACTTACCCAGTGAGGTTTATGAGTGAGTGAGTCCCAAAGGGCTCTCACTTCTGATGCCAAGTGCCTGGCACGACCAGCTCCAGTGTCAGGTAGGTAGTTTGACTGGGACAGTACCCCTGTCAAACCATAACACAGGTGTCCTACAAGCTAAGGGAGGACAGAAACCTCCTGCAGAGCAGAACAGCAAGGTTTGATCTTGACTTTCAGTACAAATATTGTCCATGAGAGCAGAGACACAATCCTTCTGACCTTTTGGGTTTTAAGTAGGCATCCAGGAAACAGTGAATGAAGAACTCAAGGCATGAATCTCCACATAAGCAACTTCGGCATCTAGGACATTCTGCTCTGTCCCCCCAACAACCTGGGAAATTCAGGTCGTTCCTGCAAGGAACAAGTGGTCACACTGGGGATGAGGCTGTCTGGGCATCCCCATCACGTCTCTCCCCCTCAGTGCCCCTGAGAAGAGGGCCCAAAGAGGTGTCACAGGGAACCCACTTGCCACATATGGGCAGCAGGGTTGGGACTTCTACCATGAGAGACTGCAGGATTAGGAGCTAGGGGGTGCAGGGGAGTGGAAAAATTAGTCCTCTCTCCTGGTCTGTCCTGGCAGTTGGTCCCTGCCCAGCATCCCGTAAGAACCCCAGAGCCCTCCCAGATGATACCCAAGCCTTAAGAGCCCTGTATCTCCAAAACAATCCTACAAACCTCCAAATCACCCCTCAAGCCCGATAGCAGTTCCACATCTGCCTTCTGCTGGGCACCAGATGTTACCACCTTCATCAACACGCAGGCAGTCTTGTCTTGCACTTGCTCCCAGAAACACCAGCCCCATCACCCTCAGCCCCATCACCCTGTGTGGTCTGGTCCGCCATCCTCTTTCCATCCCTCCCCATACCTCTTTATGTTCCCTGAACTGCCCAGGAAGGAAAAGGCACTTTATAGGGCAGACTGTGTGCCCTGGGTGAGGATTCCAAACCCACATCAATTTCACAAATAACTCCTGGGATGAGCACATCAAGGTCACATCCTCCTCACTTGAGGATATCCTACTCTCCCTCCCCATTCATGTTCCCCACAGACAACAAGGAGGCTTGTGCTAGAAGAAAACTGTTTCTTTTTTTAAACAGAACTTTTTTCAACCCTTGTTCCTCAGGGTTTTCTTTTTTTTTTTGCAAAGATAAAGTATTATCTGAACAATCTCTGCATATATATATATATATATAACATATGTTTATACACTTAAACAGTCCTGCAAACTTGTGTCACTCGTAGCCCTTCCTGCTTCACAGCAGAGAAGAAAACTCCAACAGCAAAAATGCTGCCCCTCTCAACTAGAGGAACTGAACCACATCCATCTGTGGCTCTGGAGGGAATCCCACCAGCTCCAGATGCAAGGCTTTGACTTGAGTGTAAATGCATCACTCTACAGCATTTCTAGACACTGGCCATTTCTAAACAGTGCCATGCTAGGATACATGCCACACTCACCTGTGCTCAGACCTTGGGAAGAGCACATCTAAGGACAATGAGCAGCCCTTTAACAGGTGGCAAGTAGTCCTAACTTTGCAGGTGGACTGTGACTTTCTAACTCAAATACCTATAGGCAGAACTGAAGACAAGGAAAAAAGGCAAGGAGATATCTTTCTGAGAGACGTGGCCACAGGAACACAGACTAGCTGCCCAGAGCAATGGTTTTGCATATTAAAGAAGAGTCACTGAGCAATTAGCCTCCCAGAGGAAATGCTTTGTTCCGCTTGAGAGCTCCTCCCTGCCTTTGAGGAAAAACACTAACACAAACTGGTTGAAACAGAGTAGAGGCAGAGGTCCAGGCTGGCAGGCTGGGTGGCAGACCACTTCTATGGTGTCTTCTAGCTATGATAGCTATCATCATCATCAAAGTAGGAATCACAATCTGATTCATTATCAATCAGAAAGTTGTCTTCATCAAGGTCATCATCGTCATCATAGTCTTCCTGCCACTGTGGATCATACTCCTCATCTTCAACCTCTTTGCCACCTTCATCTGTGTTGGGGGAGTCACACAAGATGGTACGTTTTTGCCTGTTGAGAAGGAGAGCATCAGAGCAGAGCCCCAGCTGTGAGAAGCAACCACAACCCAACACCATAGCGCCCTACTATAGAGGTTTTGCTGGTTTCCTTACACCACTGTCACTTAAATTGTTACCTCAAACCACAAAAGAAGATGCAAGTAATTAGTATCTGTCATTCACTCTTTTGTATGTCAGTGAGCACAGGAGAAAACTCTGCTCACCTGCTTTTTGTCTGCACTTATCCACTTTTTATCCAGCTAAGAAAACTCACCCTGTATAGGCAAGGGCTGAAGTAGGCACATTTGCGAGTTTCAACTTTCTCTGACCAGGATCTCCTGAAGACTGGAGCCCAACATGGAAATCCTGCTAGCATGAAAGAACAATCAGAAGAGAGAGAGAGAGACAATATGCAATTTGGGGTGTATTTTGTGCTGCAAACCCCTTCCCTACACACACAACCCTTAGAGTCTAACCCCGCAGCTGACCAAGCCCCTTGTCTTGCCCACAATCAAATTAGACCAGAGCAAGATAAGCCACTATCAGGCATGTGAACTTCACCTGTGTGGAGTGCCAGAGAATTGCAAAGAGACGCTCCTTGATCTGGCGTACCAACTCCAAACCAGCACTGAAATGCTCTGCTTTCAGAAGCTGAAGAGAGGAGGCCAGGTCCTGGTACTGCAGCAGGGTCTCCTCTGCAATTGAAGACCAACAAAGTCATGTTGCATCACACACTCTTAAGCAGAGACCAAGTCTTTGGCTCTGACTATGAAGCCAGTCACGGCTACTTAGATCTCCTGTGCATATACGGCACATTGCAGAACGGAACATGTTGCTCTTTACTGCATTAATCTCCATTGGCAGCCAAATTCTGCCAGTGGACTTCTCAGAAATTACATCAAGAAGGCAAAAATGGGCTGGGAGAAGTGAGAGGCCAGCTAGGTGCTGGTGTGTACGCTATTGTCCCACTACAGAGCTGCTGCTCTTTGAACTATACAGTTTGGAACACTAGTCACTACTTTAAAGAGGCTGCAGGACTTACCCAGAAGGATCTGCAGAGCATTAGTGAGCAGCTCTAGGCTCTCAGCCTGCTGTTCCACAATATCCATGCTCTCAGTGTCCTGGTTATAGTAGCTGTACACACAGGAGTAAGCCAGCACCTGGAACAGTACAGATCATGCTGTTAAGCACCCTCCTCCAGCTTCAGAGTGGGCAAGAAGTGAGCAGTATCAAACCCTTCCAGACCTCATTGCTATCAGTGGCTGAAAGAAGCCTGGTGGCACTTCTGGTGTGTGGCCATAGCCCAGTGACCCATTATGCCAAGTGACAGCAGTGCCAGGCTACCTAGAGCTACTCACAGGATTGGAAATGAATGTGCAATTATTTTATATTGAAGTCTGAAAGAACTGATTGTTCCCACCTGCAAACCATCATGAAAACACAGACTGTAAATGCATAACAAGTGTCAAACAAGTCAAAACCACCAGCACACACAACCTAGGCATTGCTGGGCAGCCCAGGCTGAACTCAAGTGGCAATGAACTGAGGGAATGGAGCACAAAGGGAAGCAGGCATGGTACTATAGAGCACCAAGAGCCCACGATAAAGGGGTTTCAACAAGTGTCAAACTCCTATTATGAATGAATGACCCCTAAAGCAATCTAGGCACCCAGCAGGAAGCAAGATCACTGTTTCCATTTAAAGAAATGGGCCAGAAAATTCAGCAGCAGCAACAAGCAAAAGTGGTATGTATCCCGGAAAACACAGGGGCTACCGTACTGAAAAGACAATATAGGGTCAGGCATCATTCTTCCACATGCCTCTCTCAAAAATCAAGCCTGAGTGCAAAAACAAGGTGTATATGCAAAGACAATTCCCACCTCCTGACTATGTTTCAGAGGACAGTAGGCATTACAGGCCTAAGCTGTCACAAGCTTACTGCACACTTCCAGTGGCTATCAGGGCATACAGTAATTAACTCAGGCTTCCAAAATATCATGAAATGGAGTTAAGAAAGAAAAATCATAACATGAACATCAAGAGGAACTTCCTAACTGAAACACAGCATCAGGAGAGCTTTCAAAAGGTAAGTATCTTCACCAGGGCATTTCAAATTGGAATGGACCAAACCCAGTATATAAAAACCCTATAGACCCTTGTGTTGATTCCATGGTGCCAACTTGAGCTAAGTTGTCTTATGATCCGACTGTAAGGAACACTGCAAACAGAGCCCAAATCTGAGTGAGAGCAGGGAAAGGCAGACATGAGCTCTGACCCTGTCCTGATGCTATCCTTCCCCTTCTGCTTTTCCTGTCTCCCCTTGTTTGGAGTACGTCAAGGTTCGTGTCTCCTCATGTCTCCTCGCTTTAAGAAAGGCATAAAACACACTAATACAATTAGGTCTAAACCTCAGCAGGACTGTTATCCAGCCTTACCTTTCGTGCCTGTTCTAGCACTTTGCAGGCATCAAGAACAAAGGTCAAGTTCCTAATTTTTGGCATCTCTCTGATGGAAGAAATACTGTTCCTCAGACTCGTGGCAAATTCCTGCAATAACCAAAGGAGGGAAAAAAAAAAGCCAATGTCAGTGTCAAGCTCTACAAGATTAAAAAAACAGCACCTTCCACACAGGTAATTGCTAAGCATCCTGAAGTGCCATCCCAGAAGATGCAGACAGCAGCAGAGCATTTAATGCATCCAACTATGACATCTCTGTCACTGTGCCATCACTTCGACCTTTTATACTACCTCAGCTCTAGGCAGAATTCTGCCTTCAATCACCATTGCTTCCAACTACTGCATCACTTTGAGTCTGTGAACGCCTCAAGTCAGGTGCTCAGTTTCCTCAACAGACTTGGTAGAAGAAAGCAGGCCAAGGACTACCCCTTATGTCAGAGCAAGGGTGAAATGGTCAGGCATCCCAACGTGGACCTGAAGCCTACTTCTCAGCAGAGAAGACACTGAGACATAACAGAAGCTATCTTGACCCCTAGGGCTAAGGCAACAACAGCATCTGCAAAGGAAGGAGGCCTTACCCTTGCGTGATGATGAAAGGTGCATCTCTCATTGTAATCCTGAAAACGCTTCTCCTGCCAAGCTGCTTTACTAACCTGAAAGGAAAGGTAAAAGTAACCTGTAGCAATTTCTCTGAAGTACTAGGGCTGCCTGGAAACGGCTGTCACACACAGAGACTTTGGCAATGCTGTTAGTATTACTGGCAAGCACAAAAGTCCAGAATAAAGGACCGAAGTGGAGATCCTCACCCTCTCTCTGAGAGGCTGGGTGCTTCTGAACACAGGCATGAACCGCGGGGATACAGCAAACCACTCACCATAGCAGAGCAGTTGTAATAATCCTTATGATTCGGTCTCCAGGGCTTGAGGCAACGCCAACAGAAGCCATGACTACACTTTGCACATGTCATACTAAATGGTAGGAAAAGAACAACAGAAATCACTCAGACCTAAGAGCCACTTGCAGACAGTTCCTTCCAGTGCTCCTACATCACAGCACTGGAGTGTGCCACGCAGTCAGTCCCATTCACCCAGTATATTTTTTTAAAGCCTTTCCTAAAATCAGATGATGCTTAAAACCAGTCAGTGTCTCCAAAAATGAGATGGGTAAACTGATAGCATGATCTCACAGTAGCTTATCAAGTACTTAAAGGGTGACTAAGCATTCCACAGTTTGAAGCAAGATCCACATGAGCACCTCACCCTTCCCTCATGCATGTAGCACTCCACACAATGCAGAAAGGCACTGCACAGCCCTAAGGTCACACATCACATGTGGGGACAAATCACAGCTGGGCATTAAGGGCTGTGCCAGTGCAAGAGAGAAACAAATGGCAACTCCTAAGCCCTAGCTTCAAAGCTGGAGGTAATTCCCCTATCATGTAAAAAGCTGCCAGAGATCCAAGCTGATTCAAAACAGTCAAAAGAAAATTGCTTTAAGTTACAGGAATAGGTGAGCATGAAAGAAAAAATGGTGCTGAGCTATCCACTCCCCCTTTTACTTCTGTATGGCTATAGTGGATTCTGAGAGCAGACAAGAGTACAAGGTATTGCAAAATCAGTTCTATCACGGAGCCATCAACAGATTTAACTCTGAATGTTGGGGAACATTTTGCTTTTCTAGGAATTAAAAGCAATCACTCATTCTCCTAAAACTGTAAACCAGACCTGCTATAACAATTGAGTAATTGTCAAAAAAAAAAAAAAGAAAAAAAAAAGCAAAGCACAGTGGACCTAAGTGGTTTTGCCCTCTCCTGTCTCCAGTAGCAAGCAAAAATGTATACTCACTGCAGGCAACCCTCATTTTTCTCTATCTGAGCCTGGCAGTTTGGGCAGTGCTTCGAAATGAGCTTAGCCAGATGTTTGCTTTGGGCTTCACTTGTCATTCCTTCATAGTATCCATCATCATCTACCCACTGAGACATGTGGCTGCAGCTGGCAGGATAATGGGCCTGAAAGGGAGACAGTCAACCACACAAAAGCAGAATGGTGCATGCCAAACCTAAAACAGTATTGCTCATGATTCAGCTCAGCCCCACCTCTGGGAAGTTGCAGTTGAAGCAGGATATCCAGGAGCACTTGGAACAGGCTGCTCCATAACCAAGTCCATCCTTAAGGAGGATCTGATCACAGCCCTGAGGGTTGGTGCACCATGTCAGGTTGGAGCAACACTCAACATAGCGTCTGAGGAGGGCTTTTTCATACTGTAATAAGAAGCCAGTAAGGAGATTTAAGGCAGAGAAGCTGCATAGTTAGGCCTTACAAGCAGGGTCTGGAGCCTCTGGGCTATACATTTCACTAAACTGCTCACAACAAAACAGCACTCAATTAGTTTATTCTTTCATTCCCTTTGTGTAAATTTCCCCATTCCCACATGTCATATCTGGAGGCTGTTTCATTTCACAGAATTGCTGAGGTTGGAAGGCATTTCTGGAAATAAAAACTAGTCCAACCCCTCCAGCTCAAAGTAGGATTGCTCAAGACCATGTTCAATTGGGTTTTGAATATACCCAAGGATAGAGACTACAAACGTCTCTGCCCAACCTGGTCTAACATTTCATTACCCTTACTATTAAAAAAAACCTCAACAACCCAAAAAACAGTATTCTTACGTTTAAATGGAATTCCTTGTATATAACTTAGTGCCCACTGCCTCTTATCCTTTCACTGGACATCATGAAGAAGAATCTGGCTCCTTAATCTCATTTGTGAATTTACACATGTTGATAAGATCCACTCCTGAGCCTCCTCTTCACCAGTCTAAACCAATCCACCTCTCCCAGCTACTTCAAGAGGTGCACCAAAACCTAATTCATCTTTGTGCCCTTTTGCTGGATTCTTCCCAGTATGTCCATGTCTGTCTTGTCCTGGTGAGCCCAGAAAGGGCCACAGTACTCCAGATGTTGTCTCATCAGCACTGGGTACAGGATCACCTTCCTCAGCCTGCTGTCACTGCTCTTCCGACATCAACCTAAAACACTAGTGGACCTTCTTAGCCATGAGGGCACAATGCTGGCTTATGTTTAATTTGGTGTCCACTGTGATCCTTTTTCTTATTCCTGCAGAGATGTTTTCCAGATGGTTGACCCCCAGCATATCCTGTTGCATTGGGTTATACTACACCAGGAGCAGGACTCGGCATTTCCTTTTGTTGAACTTGGAGCAATATGTTTTAACTTCAGCATTAGATCTTCACACAATAATCTAGTTATTTTGAAAACAGGATTGGACTAGAGATTTCCACAGATTATTGCAATCTAAATTATTCTATGACTGTCTCTGCACAAGACATTAACACTCCAGCCATACCACTTACTGAGCAAAGGAAAACATAATATTTCAGTGAGAGCATCAAAGTAACTTGTTAAAATTAGCTGCAATTTATGTTCAATAATTATTTCTTTTTATTAAAAAAACACAGCAACAGGCTATTAAACCTGCTCTCAGACAGGTGTGACTAAGGGATTTGCAAAGGCAGTAAGGACTAACTGTCCAGATAGATCCACTAATTCTTTGAGCACTTCTTACAAAAAAACAAAAAAAAATGATACATCTAAACCAATGCTTTTCTGTAGCCTTGCTCATTTTGGTTGCCAGCTTGCAAGCTGAAAGAGAAACTATAAGATAGACAAGCCTTCATGACTACTGTTCATTTCTCCTTATGACTGTTCATACAGGATCATAATGACAGTAAGAAGTTGGAAGAAGAGAATATTTTTTGAGAAGCAAAGGAAGTGGAGACCTGTCAAACAACAGAACAGTGGAAAACAGACAAGACTGTTCTGTCCAGCAGTTAACAGAAATAGTCTGTCATGTGACAGCTACAGCTCTGCCATTAGGTGGGGAAGGCATTCAGCTCTAATAACTAAAAACTGAAAGAATAGAGAGAAAAAGTAGCTTCTGCCTCAGAACAAGCAGCTGCTGCTGTTCCCTGCTGACCAAGGACTAAGGTAACTAGGAAGCCTGGTTTAGAAATGTCTGTAGACCCACACACACTTAGTGAAGATTAAGTCTGATGTGGTAATTTCTGCCATCTTCACAAAAACCTGAGGTGCTCAAAGCCAGAGACTGATGGAAGAGAAACAACATAGAGGTCATCAATGCAGCAATAGAATGAAATTGCTCATGTTTTCCTTTGTCCTAGATTTTACAATTGCTTCCAGCACACCAGTAGAGGATACTTGTCATGAGCTGCTACCACAGCTTTCACCTGGGCCTGAACTAATGATGCACCTGAAACATTATTTGCAGGAGACATATTTAGAGGAAATACCACTGTGCTCTTTTGTTGATATTATGCTTTCTTGAATAGCTGGTATTGGTCATAATCAGAGATAACAGACACCACTGGGCAGAAATCTGGTTGGCCTCAATTATCACAGTGCCAGAGTTAGTAACAGGAAGGGGAAAAGCAGCAGCAAGATTATTTGATAGTGCTGACCAAAATGAAACAGAGCTTAGACACAAAGCAACCACCTCTCCTACTTCACCTTCGCTATGATCTCCTCAGAGGACACAATGGAGTAAATGAAGGCTGTGGTTGGCTGTGCACAGCACTCGGATATGGGACAGGTGCAGTTGACAACCATGTTCTGTTCAATGCGAGTCATGAGATATTCACTCCAACAGGGCTGTGAAGGCAGAAAAGAGGAGATGAGACCTAAACAGGGTCGTGTGATCCTGGAAGCCTTCCCCACCCAGCAGAGGGTGCACAAAACCCCTGGGTAAGTAACAAACCCATGGGTAAGTACTCAAAAGCACAAAAGTGGGTACAGACAAATCAGGAGCTGAAGAATCACAACAAAAAAGGGAGCTGAGAAAAGAGAATGTATCAGCTCTGAAAATCTCTGATAACATCTTCAGACAAAGAACAGCTGCTCCAAGAAGGCAGCAGCAATTCCCCAGCAAGTCACAGGAATCAAAGACCCCAGGACCTTCACCTTGCAGCAGTAGTGCATGCAGCAGAGGGTTGGTGGCTTCTCAGTGGGACACAGCTGGTTCACACAGACTGGGCAGTGGGTTCCAGGGCTCGGAGGAGGCTGGACATCCTGCACTTGCAGCCCCGAGGAGATGAGCAGAGCATCACGGTTCTCCACATAGCACTGGATCAGGAAATCCACATTCCACCGACAGTGCATGAGGAGGTGCCGAGCAACGTCATCCGATATGCTCAGAGTGTCCTGGACCTGCTGTACTGTCTGGTTCATGAGCAGCTTTGCCTCCTCTGGACTAAGCGTGTGCCCCATTGGCACCTGCAGCATTGCCATAAGATATTCTTCTGCCCTGCCTATGCCAGAATTCAACCTGACATGGAAAAATGTGTCATGTTCATACAGGGTGGAGATGCACACCCCTCCACACCTGGTGACATGCCTCCCTACCAATGCAGGCTGTCTATGCTGTCCTCATCTGGAGATGCCTGTGGTGGCCTGCACTGGAAAGTCATCTGTGCCTGGCCCCCAAGAGGTGTCATAGGTTCAGCAGAGATGTATTCCAAGACATGAGGCCTCCCCTCCTGGCGCCGGAGATAGCCCTGGTTCAACAGGTACAGGACACAGGACAGCACGTCCACGCTGTGGCAGCAGAAGCTCAGAAACTGCACACCTGGCCCCAGTTCACCCTTTTGACAGGCATCAATCACCTATGGCAGCAAGGGAGCCCCACACTGCAGTGTGCCACAGCACCCATGCAGCCCCTCTCTGCCCCCCAGGACCTTCGTACCCTGAACACCAGGTTGTCGACGTGGAGCTGCTTCTCCACCTTGAGGATGCGGGTGATGAGGCAGCAGAGGACGTTCCTCTTCCTTTCCAGGGCGCTCACCTCGGCCCTCTCTGTCCGCAGGTACCTCTGCTGAGGCAGCAGCCTCAGGTGGTGGCCAGAGGCCTGGGCCAGGGCTACCTGGTTCAGCTGCAGTGCACCTGGAGCCAGCACCCAACCCAGGGTCAACCAAGCCTCCAGCAGGGCCTTGAAGGAGCCCCAGGACACACGTGTGGCTGCTGGACCCAACCTGGGCCTCCTCCTGCTGCCCCCACAGTTGGCCGCCACAGCCCTGTCCCCCACACGTGGCCTCAAGCAACAGCCACGCACACAACCCCATCCCTGTCCCCAACCCACACACAGACCCAAGACACAACCATCCACACTGACCCGCACCCCAAGCATGGCCCCAAGCCCCAGCCCCACACACCACTCCCAACCCTACACCTGGCCTAATGGCTCCAACCTGGCACACAGACTCGCACCCCCAGAACCACCAGACAGACCCACCCCAGCCCACTCACTTGCCGTACGAGTTTGTGCACCCCAAACCCCAACACCTACTCAGGGCTCAGAGCAGCACCTCCCCAGGGGTGCCCCAGCCCCACATTCACCTCCCAGTGTGCAGCTCCGCACCAGGACGCCCTGGCCGTGGGTCAGCGGTGTCAGCGCGTGGTGCACCAGGTCAGCAGGGAGCCCTGTAGCCTGCAGCAGGGCCTCCACAGCCACCTCCTGCAGCAGGGCATGGGAGGTGAATGGCTGGCCAAGACCTACTGGCTGCAGGCCCAGCTAAACAAGGGTGTCCTGTGCCCCAAACGCTGCTGGAGACCCCACTGGAAGGGAAGGGAGGACACAGCCCTGCCAGGCTCTGGCAGCCACTGCCTCCCTCCCCCCACTGTGGCCCCAGCTCCTACCTCAGCACTGTTGAAGCACAGCAGGATGTACATCTGTAGCGTGGACACGTGGAGGACACAGTCTCCAAACTGCAGCTCAGCATGGCCCAGCCACGTCCACTGCAATCGCCGGGGCTTCGTGCACTCCCAGCCCAGCTGGCTCTGGCCTGCCAGGGACAGTGTCAGCACAAGGGCCAGGGACCAGCCCTGACCAGCACTCCCAGCCCACGCCAGCACGCCACCACTTCTGGCTGAGCTGCTGGGGAGGGTCTGGGCTCCGGCAAGACTCACACGCACACCCACTGCCACAGCACTCACTCTGCTGGCAGAAGTCAGCAAACTCATCCAGGGGGGAGCTCAGCGTTGCCGAGAAAAACCTCCCAGGGTTATCCATGTAACAGAGTGGGGAAACAGGCCAGCAGCGCGGGGACAGGGCCAGCACCTTCACCTCTGGCACATCTGCCACCGAGGCTGTCTCCAGCACCTGGGCATGGGGACATGAGGGTGGCTCAGCTCAGGCTCCAGGATCCCCATGAGGAATGCCGGTGGTCTCCAACCTCCCCACCCCACCCTCTCACCTCATCCAGGCCCATGTCCAGCTCCAGCAGCCGCTTATCCTGCTCCTGCAGCTGGAAGAGGCAGAACTGCCGCTGGAGCTCCTCTGACTCAGCCAAGTTGCTCAGCATATTTTGGGGAAAGCGGCTGGGGAAGCACAGCCCAATCTGCTCCACGATGCCTCCTTCCAGCCAAGACGGCCCTTGCGTCAGGAGCCGGTCCCCCAGGTAGTGCCTGCCACAGCATTAGGTCAGCAGTGCCTGCCAGCATTAGGTCAGGGGTGGGCCCCGGCCCTGTGGTCATCAGCCACCCGCCAGGAGACAGACACAGCCCCGGCCTCACCCCATGCCACACAGGCCTGGCAGCACACACATTCTGGGAATGTGTGTGCAGGGAATGTGCCTCTGCAGACTGGCAGCACCCACGGGTCCTCCACACACCAGAGCCGGGAAAAGCAAAGCGGGAGCACCACTGCCACACTGGGCCAGGCTCCCCCACCATGCCACGCCACCCTGCACCAGGCCCTGGTTCCACGGAGACACAGCACCCTCACCTGTAGAAGTGCTCAAAGCTGTGGGCAAGCTCCAGGCCACTGAAGACGACAAAGGGCTCCAAGAACTGCTGCAGCCGCTCCAGTGGCCCTGTGCTGCCCTGTGCTGCCCTGCGGAGCTCCTGGATCTGCACATCAAGGTAGCGGGCAAACTGCTCACTCACCTGTGAGGAACAGGGCTAGCTGTGGAGGGGACTCACAGGGTGGCCACAGTGCAGGCCTGGGGGAATGGCCCCTGGGGGAGCAGCTGGGAAGCTCTGGCACTCTCAGGTGGGGGCCAAGGGTGCCCAAGCACCGGCCCAAGGCACGCGTGTGCCGGGGCCAGGCCCACACCATGATGAGCGCCACACACCCACAGCTGGGGACCGGGCTGCTGCAGGACAGGGCTCTGTGGCTCGGTGGGGACGAGCACACCACCCACCCAGAGCTCGCCCCAAGGCCATGGGCCAGGGCAGCTCCCCAGCCTGCGCCCGCCTGGGGCCACCGGTGCTGCACCACTGGGTGCCGGTGCCGCACTCCCTCAACTCACATGCAGGGCAGTCAGGAAGGAGA